ACTTTTGATATTCCGAGATTCCGAACTTTTGATATTCCGAGATTCCGAACTTTTGATATCCCGAGATTCCGAACTTTTGAAATCCAGAGATTCAGAGATTCAGAGAATTTGAGAATCCGAACTTTTGAAATCCAGAGGTTCAAAGATTCTGAGATTCTGAGGTTCAAAGATTCTGAGATTCTGAGATTCTGAGATTCTGAGATTCTGAGATTCTGAGATTCTGAGATTCTGAGGTTCTGAGATTCTGAGATTCTGAGATTCTGAGATTCTGAGATTCTGAGATTCTGAGATTCTGAGATTCTGAGATTCTGAGATTCTGAGATTCTGAGATTCTGAGATTCTGAGATTCTGAGATTCTGAGATTCTGAGATTCTGAGATTCCGAAATTTCGATATTCCGAGATTCCGAACTTTTGATATTCCGAGATTCCGAACTTTTGAAATCCAGAGATTCAGAGATTCAGAGAATTTGAGAATCCGAACTTTTGAAATCCAGAGGTTCAAAGATTCTGAGATTCTGAGATTCTGAGATTCTGACTTTTGATATTCCGAGATTCCGAACTTTTGATATTCCGAGATTCCGAACTTTTGATATCCCGAGATTCCGAACTTTTGAAATCCAGAGATTCTGAGATTCAGAGAATTTGAGAATCCGAACTTTTGAATTCCTGAGGTTCTGAGATTCTGAGATTCTGAGATTCTGAGATTCTGAGATTCTGAGATTCTGAGATTCTGAGATTCTGAGATTCTGAGATTCTGAGATTCTGAGATTCTGAGATTCTGAGATTCTGAGATTCTGAGATTCTGAGATTCTGAGATTCTGAGATTCTGAGATTCTGAGATTCCGAAATTCCGATGTTCCGAGATTCCGAACTTTTGATATTCCGAGATTCCGAACTTTTGAAATCCAGAGATTCAGAGATTCAGAGAATTTGAGAATCCGAACTTTTGAAATCCAGAGGTTCAAAGATTCTGAGATTCTGAGATTCTGAGATTCTGACTTTTGATATTCCGAGATTCCGAACTTTTGATATTCCGAGATTCCGAACTTTTGAAATCCAGAGATTCTGAGATTCTGAAATTCTGAGATTCTGAGATTCTGAGATTCTGAGATTCTGAGATTCTGAGATTCTGAGATTCTGAGATTCTGAGATTCTGAGATTCTGAGGTTCTGAGATTCTGAGATTCTGAGATTCTGAGATTCTGAGATTCTGAGATTCTGAGATTCTGAGATTCTGAGATTCTGAGATTCTGAGATTCTGAGATTCTGAGATTCTGAGATTCTGAGATTCTGAGATTCTGAGATTCTGAGATTCTGAGATTCTGAGATTCTGAGATTCTGAGATTCTGAGATTCTGAGATTCTGAGATTCTGAGATTCTGAGATTCTGAGATTCTGAGATTCTGAGATTCTGAGATTCTGAGATTCTGAGATTCTGAGATTCTGAGATTCTGAGATTCTGAGATTCTGAGATTCTGAGATTCCGAAATTTATTTCGATATTCCGAGATTCCGAACTTTTGATATTCCGAGATTCCGAACTTTTGAAATCCAGAGATTCAGAGATTCAGAGAATTTGAGAATCCGAACTTTTGAAATCCAGAGGTTCAAAGATTCTGAGATTCTGAGATTCTGAGATTCTGACTTTTGATATTCCGAGATTCCGAACTTTTGATATTCCGAGATTCCGAACTTTTGAAATCCAGAGATTCTGAGATTCTGAAATTCTGAGATTCTGAGATTCTGAGATTCTGAGATTCTGAGATTCTGAGATTCTGAGATTCTGAGATTCTGAGATTCTGAGATTCTGAGGTTCTGAGATTCTGAGATTCTGAGATTCTGAGATTCTGAGATTCTGAGATTCTGAGATTCTGAGATTCTGAGATTCTGAGATTCTGAGATTCTGAGATTCTGAGATTCTGAGATTCTGAGATTCTGAGATTCTGAGATTCTGAGATTCTGAGATTCTGAGATTCTGAGATTCTGAGATTCTGAGATTCTGAGATTCTGAGATTCTGAGATTCTGAGATTCTGAGATTCTGAGATTCTGAGATTCTGAGATTCTGAGATTCTGAGATTCTGAGATTCTGAGATTCTGAGATTCTGAGATTCTGAGATTCCGAAATTTCGATATTCCGAGATTCCGAA